TTGAGTAAAAAAAAAATAGGTGCTTTAATTTCTTTAAATTTGTTAAATTTTTTGTAATATTTAAAACCTAATAATGGATTTTTTAACAAAATCGTTTTATATGATATTTAAAATGATTAATTTATAAATTTTTAATTACTAATTTCTGTTTTTTTTATGGAAAAAAAGTTATGGGGAAAGCTAGTAGTATAAAGAAACTGTTAATTTGATAACAACACCATCAGAATATATAAAAGTTATGTAGTAAAAGAATGTGTAGAGTTTTTAAATAGAAGAATTACAATTTCTGAACCAAAGAGTAATTAGAAGAAAAGAAGAAAAACTTTGGGTATCCTTCCATCCATCAACTCCTACCTCCAATAATCATTTTGTTGCCGGAAGTTGCAGGAAAGACACATAATACAGAAAGAGGTTCGAATGTGAGCAGATAAATTAGGTTTCGTATGAGGAAGAGGGATTTCGAACTTAACATGTGTTTTCTTTCTTTCTCTGCAGAGTGACTCGCAAAATCACGTCATACCCATGATTAGTTTCTTTCACGATTTTACCCATTTCACCAAAATTAACTCGCAAATAGGTAGCAAAATCACAATTCGAATTGCCATTTTTGGTACCCTGGCTGTGACTTTTCACTCACTTTCTTGCTGTTTCCCCTTGCAGAAATTTGTTATCTAGAACTGGAATGGTGCTTATTCTACTTTTGTTATTCTCTCTCTGTATATCCATGTATTATTCAGAATGCTCATTTTAAATGCAATCTATCACTTGGTGACATTTGGTGCCCTTCTGTCAGATGGAAACATTTGGTGCATCGATTTCAGACGTGAGGAATGTTGCAACAGGTAATTCCAATGACGGTACGGTTGAAATGGAGGGTTTCAAGCAACGTGTTGACGAGATAATTTCAAAGGTTGATAAGGCAAGTATATTTATTAAAAATTATTATGCAATTGTGTGTATTGTGCATCGTATTGGTGTTATATGTTAGTTTTTGGTAGGCTCAATTGGTGTTAGGAGATGACCAACTAGAACCAATTGGAAAAGAGGTGCTTAGTTAGGAACAGTGTACCTGGATTAATGTGGCCTAAAGGGAAATAAAACTGTACAATACTCCGGCTGGATTGAGAGCCCAAACTATCCCGCAATTCACAGACTTCCCTCCTTTATTTTTCTTTTTCCTTCTTACTTTGGATGCAAGCTAAAAGTGCTTTTGGTAGCTTCTTTTTTTGGAAATATAGAATTTTTTCCGATAGAGAAGCTCCCAAAAGCACTTACAACTTTGTATCCGAACATGTTTTTACTACATTTCTGCTAGGTACAACCACAACCATCTTTTACTCCTTATACCTCTTCTATTCCATGAACGATCTCCTACCACTTTTCAACAGTGAGTTATATTGAGGTTATGCTTTATCACCACTTTTTGAGCTTTCACATGATTTACTCCTAAGGAATCCATTCACGTGGTTGGTTCCTGTATGAGACAATTGACTAGTATATTACATGATTTTGATGGCTTATATATAGGTATCAATAACGAGATAGGATTTGAGTTTTATTTTTTATGTTTGCCTCTCCTTCTGTGGCTTGATTTTTAATTGACTGTGCTTCATGCACTATGTATTGATGCATATCCATTGCACAATTTATGGCCTTTTGGCATGCTGTGGTAAGACTACAATGCATGCTTCTGCCTCAACGGTTAGCATATTAGGCATCTGGTCCTCTGATAAGGAGGCAATTTATGGCCTTTTGGCATGCTGTGTTAAGACTACAATGCATGCTGCTGCCTTTGTAAAAGTATGACAACTTCATTCTTTCTGGAAGCATTTAGCTTGATGCCATGTTTGCAAACCACTCCCATCAACTTTGTGCAAAGTGAATGATCTGTAGAGCTTCTACATTTTGGGTTGTCTACTACTTTATTGTGCCTCACTTTATGGTTATAATATTATGCATATGATTGCATGACTCATGAGATTTTGATCTCTTATACGTAGAGGAGCTTTCATATAGAGCTAACTAGGACATTGAAAACGCAATTTGTTATCACATTTGTCAAAATTAAAACACATGGTCTTGAGCTTAGTAAACTTAAAGTCCTAGAGTGTAATCGTGTCAACTTGAAAAACATGTTAGATTCTTTTTTCCCAAATTGTTAGGATATTTATCCTATTTTATCATCATTATAGTGTGTCAAGGGTTACCCTATTTATCATGATTATATTATGTCTAGGATTACCCTATTTATCATGATTATATTGTGTCTAGGGTTACCCTATTTATCATGTATTTGTGTATCAATTTATTTTTATAAATAGAAGATTGTGAGATTGATCAATTAAGCCCTCTAGAATTATTTTACAGTTTCAATCTTAAGACAAATGAAATGAGTTAAGATGTAATATTTTTTCACCATCATTCTCTTTGACATTTGGGGTCCAAGTTGTGTAATATCTTTTTGGATTTTAACAATTTGATACCTTCATTAATGAATACTCTATATGTTTTGTCTATCTTTATATTTTTCTTGAATGAAATAAAATGTAATTTGGACAAGTTATCAAAATACACAAAAGTGATAATGCAAAAGAATATTTTCTTCTGAACTTTTTGCTATTTTGGGTTCAATTGAATTTTACATTTGTCCGCCAACTCTCATACACCTTAGCAAAATTCTCAAAATTAGAAGACAATAGTTTCTCTCTTTTTCACGTGCATTTGATATATATACATGCATTGGTTGGATAATTTAGGAAACAAGCACAACCTATTCTAGGATACAAAAGTTTGAGATTGCAGCAGGATTGCTGTGCTAATAAGAAACCAATATACAAAATTAAAACCAATAGGAATAAAATCTAAACCTGTCTTAAATATCTCGACAAAAGTGATATAATAGAGAGAAAAAATAGACACTTGGTTGAAACTACATATGCCTTATTACTTGGTGCTAGTATACTTGTTCATTATTGGGGGTGATGTCATTCTTACAACTTGTTTTCCGAATGAACTTTTATTTCATGTTGCTCCTTGTGTTTTTTGAGTGTATTTTGTACATGACTTGTCTCTGGGTTTTGACAGATCATAGGCTAGAGCCACCTCCCATATTAGGTGAGTCCTTTTCATCAAGTGTCACTTGATGCTTTGGACACTTGCTGCAACCTAGGATTAGTGATGTTTGTCTTCTAAAATAGAATTTGACAGCTGACTAGCTTTACTTGGCCAGCTTTCTAGGCTTCATGATCTCCTGAATTCTCATGTTCAACCTGCTGGAAACACAATTAAAACACAATTCAAACCATGTGTGACTGTATATACTATTTTTGACAAGGCCGCTGAATATATGAAGGAAAGGGCTGCACTGGGTGGCTGGAAAACTATGACAGCTGCTCATGATATGATTCATGATGCATATATAGTTGAGCAATGTAGAATGAATAATCCCCATATACAGAATGGTAATTCATACTAAAACCAGAACCAAAAACAGTTAAAGAAAATATGGCTTAATAGCATGCACAGACTGGAAAATCAGAAAAATGATAACTAAACACAATTGGCTACAAAATTTCCAATTCCCACTACGCCAATTTGTTAGCAGTCCTTTAGTTGCATAAAGGCTAACAAAAATCTCAGTTTCTCCCTAATGTGTATAGGAAGCTAACCAAGGTATCTATCCAAAAAATTGTGTAACTTTGTAGCTAAAGTTGTGTCTATTTATCACCCTAGAAACCAAACAAACATAGGGGGAATGAAAAACATAAACTCTACTCCAAAACAATGAAATGATAGCAAGTTATAAAGAAATATGAATGAAATGTGTTCTAGGTCCGAACACTACCTAAACTCGTGATTAAATGCAAAACTGAAAAGTGTTTGATAAAATGACTCAATGAAAACCTAGTTTTCACCAAGTGTTTGTTGAAATGCTTGAATGAACCAAACTATTATTTATGCAATGTGAATGACCTGGACAAGTTTCTATATGCTTAATTATGCATAATGAATGATTAAACCATGCTAAGAACTCCAAAATCACAAAATCATATGCTGAAATAAATGACAGCTAAACTTCTAGTGCATAAATTTTTTTGACAGCAAATGGATTATGCAGAAGTTTTGACAGCAACTAAAATCATGCATATTCTTAGGTCTGATGCAATGCTACTGTTCTAACCATGTTTCTATATGCCTAAGTATCTGAGTGAAATGCTTAAACCACACTAAAAATAAATTCCATTGCCAGTCCTCAACACCACTGACAATTCTGTCCAGCCCTCAATGTTGCAACTTCAAATGGTTCTCCATATACATATATACATCTATCTCTATATACTCTAGCCCTCTGGCTTTTTATCATAAACTTGGCCTCATTGCCATGTCTTTAAGCTCTTGTTCATGCTCCCAGTATCGTGATAGGCTTATCTTAAAACATATTATTCAATAAGTCTATCTTCTAATACTTATGGTACTCGTCATACAATACCACCTTGATGACCATATTGTTTGATGGTACTCTAGTTAGACTATTCACCCTTACACTTGGTGTGATTAATCCGACAAACATATCGTGTGTTGATCTAAGTTAGGACATTCTCGATTATGCCAACTAATTTGTTTATAAATCCCCACTGTAAAATCTTTCCAACATTGAATTTCTTTCTGAAAAGTTTTAACTCTTTACTGTCACAAATTAGCTAATAGAATGAGAACTCCCCCTTTTCATTTATATATCATTTTCACAACAGACCACATAAACACTTTAGCTAAAATACACATTCAGTTCTCATACATCACATACAATTCATATAAATTTCCAACGAATTCAAAGTATCACAGAATCTGGTCAAACAACACAAAATAATATACATTCAAGAGTTAGCTTCCCTTACCTGGAAGTTAGCTTTGAAATCTCTAGATTCTACCACTCCAACCTCAACAAAAGCACTTTTCAACTCTGAGCCAGGTTACAACAACTCCTTCCTCATAAAACCTCTGTTAAGCTTGATATTCAAACAACAGGACTTAATCAGGTTATTGAGGAATTGAGAGAGTTCTTAGAGAGATAATGGATTTCTAGATAAAGATTTTTCCCAAAATGCTTGATCTGGCCGAATCTCACTTTTATAGCATGGGTGCATGCAATGCTCTAATATGTTTGAGTTACACATAATAAACATTAAATACTTCCCTCGTGGATAGTTGTTTTCCACTTTCCTATTACTTCTGCTCCACCACTTCTGAAGTTTAGTGTGTTTATTATCTTTCAAATAAAGTGTTTACCTGTTAAGAACTTGTTTTCCATTTTTTGACAATTTACTCCACCACCGTTTGAAGCACCTGTTATATCTTGCCACATACTCATTTAATTTCTATATTATCTTGCCACCGTTTTAAGCATCTTTGTTAAACTCTACAAAAAAATATTTAATAGATATTTTAATATTTAAAGAATGAAAAGTTGCTTGTGTTTTCTGGGAATCAAGTTTAGGTTGGTTTTAATATGTATGTCAGTCACTTGTGTTTATGATTACTCTTGTTTTTGTCCCAACAGCTTGAGCAGAAAGTACATGATGTGGAGAACTTTTACTCGAGTGTGAATAAAAAGCAATCAAACATTCTTAAAGGTAATTCAACTACAAAGGATAAGGAGAAACATGTTCCAAGTATTAAGAAGCAACAACAGGATGCTTTAAAAAGAATGCAAGATCTTATGCGCCAGTTCGGCACAATACTACGCCAGGCAACTACTTTTCATTTATCAATGGTGTTTGTGTTGATATGCTGCAATATTTGAAACATGCTTTTTAGTGCAACTGTGTTAACGTGATAATTGTCTATTTAGTTAGATGTCATTCTTTTTGTGATATTTGTGGGATCATTGTGTTTGTTCTTATTTGGACTTATGCAGTGTTATAAAACATCTGTTATGGCAGCACCATAGCGGAAATTGGTGGCAGTTTTATAGCTTGCCACCACAACATGGCAGTGGCGATGCGGGTTTTGCATGGCGGCCGCTTTTTTTTATCACAGTTGGCTCGCGCAGAATGGAGATGGCTAAAAATGTGCAGTAGGAGAAGGAAACTCCATTGCAGGGATGATGTGGTAGGGTGGGAGAAGAAAACTTTATGCATAGGGCAACAACACAAGGAGGAAACCCTAATTATTTCTTTTTTGTTTTTAGGTTAAAAGCCCAAATGATAATTTTGTTGAAAATTGGGTTATACTTGGCCTAACAAAAATATTATAATAAAACACTAGTTATCTCTTTTCTTTGTTTTCTGTTGGGTTAAAAGCCCAAATGATAATTTTGTTGCAAATTGGGCCATATCTGACCCATCAAAAATATTATAATTTAACCTAATATTTTCACACTCGACCCACACCTCTCCATATTCTTCTTTAGTCCTATTGCTGCTGCTTGCACTGACCTTAATGCTCATTGCTGCCCTCTAACTGCCGTTGATTGCCTCAACTCTAGAGTGATTATTATATCTCTACAACAAACCTTTTCTTGGATAACCTTTGTTAGGCATGTAAATAATGAGGAAGAGTGGAATAGGGGTATTATAGAAGGAATGATAGGATATGGAAGGTTTATTGTAGGAGGAAAAATAAAAGGAAGCAGTGAATAAAGGAAGGAACGGAAAAATATAATTAGACCAATTAGTCCCTTGGAGAGGAGGACGATAATTTTGTAGTTTGAGCTTTGGCTCTTTGTGAAGGGGAAGCCCTTAAGGAGAGAGTGCTCTCCTATTTTGTGTTATTTTTAGTCTATTCAATAAAGAATGTTACTCTTCTTTCTCTTTTCAATTCTGGATTCCTATCAAATTGGTCTGACCTGCCGGATTCGAAGAGAAGGGGAAAGTTTGGCCTACAAGCAAGGAAGAGTTATGGCAGAGATGAAGACAAGTTTTGTCTATTACCAAGGAGATCCTACATGATTTGAGGGAGATTAAATAACTTCTTCAGGATATCAAGAAAGAAAAGAAAAAGGTAAAGACTGGTTTGGGTATTGTGAAAGATGGCTTGCAGGAAATAAAAGAGACCAAAGATCTTTTTCCAGACGGAGGATACAATTCAATCAAATAGGAAAAGCAAAGAGAAGAGGATGCCTTTGACAATAATTAACTTAATAATGGTGAGAAAGAACCAATTTGCTTTGGGGTTAAAAGGATGGAGTTGCCCACATTGGAAGGGAATGATCCCCAAGATCAAATTGCAAGGACAACAAATGTTTTGGAAGTTCAAAAAATCAAAGGATCAACAAAAGTACATCCAATCCTTAGCAGCATGGAAGAAGATGCAGTCCAAGGGATATAAATCTGGCAATAAAAAATCAAGAAAAGCAAGAAATTTTCCAAATGTGGGGAGAATTCAAGGAATGTAGGAGAGAAGAAGGAAGAACTGTTGCAAGCATGGTTATCAAAGTCGCGAGTTAACTCATTAACTCGGTCGAGTTTACGACTTCACTTAGTGCTTCCGAGTTAACTCAGAAGCAAACTCAGAAATGGTGTAGAATCGGTAGCCTTATTGGTGGACTCGGTAGACTTGCTTGAAATCTCGAGCACCTCGCTTGCTGTTGCCCACCATCTCCCTATCAGTGGTGGTCGCATGCCTCCTTCGTGTGCCTCTGTTTCGCACTCAGCGGTGGTTGTCATCTCACAACTCTTATGCTTTTAAGTTCAGCTTTGCACTATTTTCAAAGTTATCTCTGCACTGTACGTGTGCCTCTGTTAAGTAAAATGTTGTTGTGGTTAAGTTCTAAAGAAAGCCCTCTACTAGTTTTTATGTCTTGTAGTGAAAAAACATATTTGGAACAAAATCAAATTCATTATTAGAGGATCACATGATTACACTTCTTTTTACATTTCAATTTATATTTCAATTTATGTTTTATAATATTTATATGAACAATATTTTTATGATTCTATTTATTTGAAATTATATAATTTTGTGGATTTATTTGAATTAAAATATTATTTATATAATTTTTTAATCTAAAGTAAACTCTTACGAGTTTACGATTCGAGTTTACGAGTCTAGTTTACCAGACTCTCACGAGTTTATGTGAACTCTCAAGTTTAACAACCTTGGTTGCAAGATCTCAAGAAAAGCAAGAAACTATCCAAAGGGGGAGAAAACTCAATTAATATTGAAGAAAAGATGGAAGGATTAAATGAGGAAGGAGAAGAAATGCTAAGGCCCTGGACTACAAGAGTAGAGTTATCAACATTTGAGAGGAAGGATCCTCTAGGATGGGTATCAAGAGCGGAGAAACATTTTCGAGTTCAAGTTATCACCTCAAGAAAAAAACTAGGTTTGGCTTCCACCAGCATGGAGGAAAATGCAATGATAAATTTTGAGGGTGGTGATAGGTAGATAAGAACCATGAACCATAAGCAGAGGATGAATCACATGATTTTAGTTTTCTAAAAAGAAGTTCTGACTTGGGTGATAAATCTGATGATCAAGAATTTGAAGTGTTTCGTGTACAATAAAAATTCATTGTAAACATTTTGCTTTTTGAGATATATGAAGATGCTCTTATAGCGGTTACTTACCAACATTCAGTAATTTTTACTCGTTGAGGCTGGTGAATATGTTGGTTTGATTCCTACGTCAATTGTTAGTGATGATCCAACAGTAAAAAACGAATGGGTTGTAATTAAATGGGTTGAGTACAGAACCAACAATGATAACCAACTTATGAAGGATGGAAACTAAACCTTTAAATTTGGCTTGTTGCAACATATCAGATGAAGATTACCAATATTTGCTTACTATTGATGAAACAAATGCCAAGGAAAGTGACTCGATAATAGGTTTTGATGGAGTTCTTCAAATTGAACCAAATTCTAAGTCAATTGATGAACTACAAGACGAAGAATTGAAGGCAGCTAAACCAGAGTAGATTGAAGCAGGGAAAACATTTGTGTAAGCAGCGACACATGATCTCAGGAAAAGGGATGAAGCACTCCAACATCTTAAATTTTCAAGAGTACAACCTTGAGGACAAGGTTGTTCTAGCAAAGGAGAGTATTGTTAGGCATGTAAATAATGAGGAAGAGTGGAATAGGTATTATAGAAGGAATGATAAGATATGGAAGGCTTATTGCAGAAAGAAAATTAAAAGGAAGCGGTGAATAGAGAAAGGAATGGAAAAATAAGTGGATGCACGACTCCCAGTTGGGAGTTGGTCCATATAATTAGACCAATCAATCCCTTGGAGAGGAGGATGATAATTTTTTGGTTTGAGCTTTGGATCTTTGTGAAGGGGAAACCCTTGGAGGAAAGAGTGCTCTCCTATTTTGTGTTCTTTTTCGTCTATTCAATAAAGAATATTACTCTTATTTCTCTTTTCAATTATGGGTTCCTATCAACCTTTAATGTACTTTAATGTACGAATAACAACTTTTAGTGATCTATACATGGAGAATAAAGAAATTGACTCACTACACTAACTGCAAAGGAAATATTAGGCCAAGTATAAGATATTTCAATTTTCCAACTAATGTTATGTACTTAACATGATTTGAGAGTGTCTCCTCTTGATTAGGTAGGAGTTTGGCATTGACATCCATGGGTGTCAAAAAAACTTCAAATTCATTAACCCAATTTCTTCCAAAATATTTAATGCATATTTTCTTTGAGAAATAACAATTCCATTGTTGGATTGTGCTACCTCCATCTTCAAGAAATATGAGTTTGCTAAGGTCTTTGGTCTAAAAGTGGTGATAAAGGTGATGTTTGTTTTACTTGTGAGATTTGTCTAATTGAGAGCCATATCAAATTATTTAACAATAGTGCTAAATTTGCCAAACCAAGCCTAGGGTACTGCTTAAGGCCATATAAAACTTTGTAGAGACTACATATCAATCCAAAAGACTTCCCTTGGGTAACAAAACCTAGAAGTTGCTCCACATAAATATATTTCTCCAAATCATCATGAAGAAAAGCATTTTTACCTTTAGTTGATAAAGTGGCCAATGTTGAAGTGTACCCATGGCTATGAATAAGTGAAAATGGCCATCTTCGCAATTGAAGAAAAAGTATCACTATAGTCCAACCAAAACTGTGTATAACCTTTGGCCACTGGGTGAACTTTGAGACAATCAGTAGTACCATCATGACCAACTTTACTAGCAAAATCAATCTACAACCATTAGTAGAGTAAGGGAATAAGTTCCCAAGTTCCACTATTATGAAGAACATTTATTTCATCAAGTATGGCCTGAAGTCAATCAGATTGGGCTAAGGCATCACCTACAAATTTTGGAATTGACATAGAAGAAATTGGGGAAATACAAGTGCAAAGTGATGGAAATAACCTATGATAACTCAAAGTAGTATAATAAAAAGAGGGATTACGGGTAGAGCGTATACCTATATGTAGGGCTATGGGATGATTTGATTCAATTGTTGGAGTAGGAGGGGATGAAGGAGTTGACACTAGAAGAGAGTCATTCGGTGGACGATTGAGAATCTATCGACGTGTATACACTTGAAGAGATGGTGGAGGTTAGGAATTTGTAGGTATATTAAACACAATAGAAGGATCATAGATAACTATGCTCATGACTTCATTAGATGGAGACGCAGTAGGAGAAGGAAGAAGATGAATAGTACTAACACCATGTAAGGAGGTAAATAACCTGAAGTAGACAAAGCAGAGAAAATATTTCAAATCAGTAATGTGATCTGTGACACCTGAGTCTAGAATCTAAGGGCGAAGAGAGTTGTAGTGATGCCAACAAATGATGTACCTATGTGTGCAACAAAAGTAGTGGAATCAAAGTTTTGACAATTCTCATACCATTTGAGAAATTTGTTGAAGATAGCATGATGTTCTAAAGTATTAAATGAAGTGGGATCCAAATGAGATGGTTGCGAGGGAGCAACTTGGGCAATCACAACAAATCGAGGAAGATGACCATGTAAGGCATAATCGATCAATTATGTTTCCGAGCTTGTAAGAATGTTCACACCCATGACACCCTTTTCATGGCTTGCAAGGGAAATTGCGATCATCATGCTGAAGAGTGATCAGAGGTGACTAAAGAGAGTATTTTAGTGGTTGACTTACAAGACATGCAATAAATGGAACAAAAGGTAGGTACAACTAGGGATCCCAAAATCTAATCACAAACATGTGAATAATCGCTAGGAAATCCATGTAAGGCTAACAACATGAAAGACTTTGATCGTGTCTCTAGTTCATGAGAAGGAGTGGAGTTAGTAGACAATAAATCATTGAAGTCATGGAGAAGAAGATGAACTTTACCTAACTATTAAGCCATTATATTGTTAAGACTTTTGGAAGCAACAATATTTAAGATATTTTGACAAAAACTATAAAGATGTTAAGTATCATTGGTGTACAACAATATGTCATGTTTCCAAACTTTTGAACATGTCTCATAGGCTTTTGCATCCACCTATATATATTCGAAATTGGTCTTATTTCTAGTTGATGTGAGACTTCCAACACACTCCCTTGTGTCGAGAGGCATATACATCTAGTTCGGATAGGCTCAAACTCATGGCTCTTACTTAGGCTTAAAGTCCACTTCTTAACAATTATATTTGATTTGGTGTTGTTATGTGGCTTGGTTACTTCAACTTATCTCTAATTTTTCTTGTAAAACCTGTTATGTAATGTTTGATTGTTTGTAAATTGAGTAGTTTAGACTCTACTTTAGTGTAGGGTAATCTCTTCAAATTATGAAATCAGTTCTTTAATAATTGGTCTCTTATGCCAGATCACACAACACAAGTGGGCTTGGCCTTTTATGCAGCCTGTGGATGTGGAGGGGCTTGGTTTACATGATTATTACGAGGTATGATTAATATATGCATTTCCCCATGTTACTCTTGCATTAGCATTGTCTGTTTTTGGGTATTTTGTTGCTAATATTTATAGACTTTTGAGGTTTTCATATATTTCATTGTGCAATGCTTGTTGAGAGAAAACATGGGATACATTTGATAAATTGTGTCTGACTTATGAATGGAAGCTTTTATTTAGAATGAATTGTAAAGATAAAGTTAACATTAAGCCTAATTTATATACATACTATTGTTGATCTATGATAATATTTGTAAATACTTTATTTCGTATTCTCTAACATATTGCATGGTTATCAAACTTGCATGTTAACTCGAAAACACAAACGAGTTTACTAGACGAGTTTACAATTCTTAAATCCATTGCTTGAGTTGACTCAAAAGGAAACTTGTTTTTGAAGCAAGATCGATAGGCTTGATGTGAACTCAGTGAACTCGACCAAACTCGGGAGCTTGCAATCGAGTTGACAAGTTTGGAAGGGTTTTCTTTTTAACGCGAAATGATTCCAATGATTGTCATTGTAGAGATGGTATTTGAGTGTGAGCTGTCAAAAGCCATGGGAATAACCTAAAATGGGGTTAAAAGGTGTCACTTGGGTGTGAGGAAGGAGGCAGAGGGTGCTTCGACAAGGTGGTTGTGCTGAAAATGGAAAAACAATGCAATATGAGACGGCTGTGTGAAACGAAGTTTGGTGGTAGCCAGAGGAAGGCGGTTCTGGTCACAATGGTCACCAGATTAAAGGGACACTTGGTGGTGGGGGAAGGGGCACATAGTAGCTGCGAGTACCGTTCACCCGATAAAAAAAGAACACTGCAGACCAAAAAACAAAAAAAACCTAAACTAGTAATACCATATAGAAGAGTATATTTGCTTAATGTATTATGTCTAATGCAGACTACAAAATGTGTATTTATATTAATTTACAGAATCAAATATAATAAATTTCTACCTAACAATTACGGATCAATCATCTTAATTTGCTAGAATATGTAACTGTTAATTTTCTACAAATTTGTTTACATTCTAATAGAAACATTTGCTCCAATTGATATAGTCGAGGTTATTATCTCTAGCGGCTAATTATGATTGGAACTTGCCGCAATTTGCTGGTGGGAAAACCTGTGCCAAAGCTGTAAAAAGTATTTATGGACTAAAACAATTACCACGAGCTAGTTTTGGAAGGTTTACTGAAGTTATGATAGGTTTGGGCTTCAAACAAAGCCAAGGAGATCACATGTCGTTAGAAACGCTAAGTCAGGGGTAGTAACAATGTTACTAGTGTATGTGGATGATATTTAAGTGATTGGTGGTGATGAAGAGAAGCGACAACTATTAAGCCAACATTTAGCAAAGGAGTTTGAAATCAAGATCTTAGGAAAATTGAATTATATTTTGAATTGAAGTAGCCCATTCTAAAAAATGGGTATTTTAATATCTAAACTTTCAAGTAGACCAAATGATCCAAATCTGAAGTTGGGAAATGCAGAGACACTGCTAAAAAGGAAATGTACTCGAGATTAGTTAGCAAACTCATTAATAAGACACTACACCTGATGTTGCATTTGCATTGAGTCTAGTGAGCCAATTCATGCACCAACCAAATGAGATTCACTTACGGGCTCAGTTAGAATTGTGCAATATCTGAATGACACTCCTTGCAATGGAATTCTGTTGAAACGAAATGGGCATGTAAATCTCAAAGTATGTACTAATGATGACTATGTTGGGTCAATTGTGGATAGTAGATCAACTGCTGAATTGTACTTTTTTAGGTGGGAATCTAGTAACTTGAAAGAGTAATAAACAAAAGGTGGTAGTAAGATCTAGTGCTAAACCGGAGTTCAGGGCAATGGCTCAAGGGATCTATGAAATACTGTGGGTGGAAAGCATCTTGGAAGACTTAAGAATAAAGTGTGACGAACCAGTGAGAATTTACTGTGATAATAAGTCTTCTATTAGCATGGCCCATAATTTTGAAATTGATAGTACCAGACATTGAAATTGATCTGCATTTTATCAAAGAAAAATTAGAGGGTGGTCAAATCTGCATTCCATATGTCTCCTCTCGAGACAACCGTGCAGACCTACTAAGAAAGGGGCTGAATTGAAACAATTCTGAATGGATTGTTTCCAAGCTAGGAGAAGAAAACACATTTACTAGCTTAAAGGAGAGTACCAACAATCATATTTTATTATTCCACTTTTAGCATATTATCATTAAAGTGTGCAACATAAATATCCCTGAATCATAGGATATCTAATTATATCCTTGAATAATAGGGATTTAATTATATCTCTGAATCATAGGGATCTCATTACATCAAATGGTCTTATTATATTTCCAAAATTAGTTTTCCAGACTTATATATATGCGTGCGTGTGTGTTTGAGACATATAGTTCATAATAGTCCCTATTTTACATACGCTTTAGCAGTGTAATTCTTTATCTATTCTCTAAAATACTTCCCAAAGAAAGTGCAATTATTTTGAAATCCTGATAGGTTACATTTTTGCGATTTCGAATGACTGATTTCAATCAGCAGTGTGTTGGAGGAATCTGATTTTCCATACAATTCACTTTCCATGCTTTGATTGATCTGTTGTATATGCTGCTTTCTAGGTCATTGACAAGCCCATGGATTTCAGTACGATTAAGAATCAAATGGAGGCTAAGGATGGTACTGGATATAAACATATTCGAGAAATATGTGCTGATGTGAGGCTGGTTTTCAAAAATGCTATGAAATATAATGATGAAAAAAGTGATGTTCATGTGATGGCAAAAACATTGTTGGCAAAGTTTGAGGAGAAATGGTTGCAACTTTTGCCTAAAGTTACTGAAGAGGTAACTTATTTTCAATTAATTGTTTCTAAGACCATTTGTTGTGTTGGATGGAACATTATCAATTCAGGGATTTTGTTATCCTTTTCATAGTGGAAACTTTGTAGATATTTTTGACAACGTTGTCTTTGTAACTTTATCATGTGAGGTTATTAAATTGTAGGAAACAAGACGAGAAGAGGAAGAAGCTGAAGCACAGTTAGCATTGCAAGTTGCTCAGGAAGCAGCTCAAGCTAAAATGGCTAGAGACTTGAGTAATGAGGTATTTGTAAGAGGTTTATTTAAAACATTATTATAATATGGGACCATGAATTTAATCAAACAATTCATGTGCCTCTTCTTTAAGATACACTTGATTTGGGAGTGTTGAACTATAACTACTTTTGTTAAGATGTACTCTATATTTTCAGCTGTACGAAGTTGATGTGATTCTAGAAGAGCTACGGGAGATGGTTCTTAAAAGATGCAGGTTAGCTGTTGCATCATATGTTTCCTGTAAAGCATATTCAAAATATAGCATGTAATATGGTTTGGCATAAAAATTTTGTTGCTGTGTGATGCAATTGTATGCATGCTTAGGGTGATGCTTTTGGATACATATAATGAAATTCATTTCTTCTACCCATTTCCTCCATCTGTGGCTTAAAACTTATAATTTCAACAAGGTACCAGATTGTTTCCTGTTCCCCATGTGCATACTCATTTTGCTGTCAAGTTTTGTAAACCTAGGAGCTCTACTTAATTTCAATATTTGTTCTTTTGATGTAGATTGCATCCACCCCATAGACTTAACAAGCACCTTTGCAACCTCTTTGGGTGTATCACTCCCTCCTCTAGAAGGAGTTTGACCCAATGTTGTTAATGGTGGATGGTGGAGCATAGTGGAGAGCCCAAAGACACGCACACTAAAAACATAAATATTAAAAAATCGCAGCAGATATTGATACTAGACAGCAGTAGATTCAAATAACAATGGATTAAATTCCTAGAAAACATGACAAGTTTCACTAGTTCGTAAGTGCCTATCAATTCTGTCCTTCAAGTTAAAGAACAAATTTGATGTCATTTTGAAAATGATAAAAACAATATCGTATTGAGCTTTGGAGCAATTTGATATATTTATAAATTGATATCCTATTTTGTAGATAACCACACACTTGATTTTCCTCGGTCTTTCAAATCTCTTTTCTCTTGGATGTCATTGCTCTAAAAATGGGTATCACTATTTCTCTTTTAATCTTAACGAGTCTTTAGTTTCTGCTGAAGTCTCGTTCTGAGTTTGTCCCATATTTTTCACGTGTTCCTTCTCATTAGGACTTAAGCAATCACTTTCCCTCCTCTGTCAATCTTTCCTCATCACCAGGAATCACAGTATATAGGATCGAGTACATATAGTATCTGCCCGCTACACAATCCCAATGCACAATAAAAAAATTTACTTGTTACCTGTTTAATTACTTGCGGATATATAAAAAAAGATATTTTATAAATTTTTAAAATAAAATCTAAATAAAATTAAAAAAATATAAAATATTATATAAATTAAAATTAAATTTTAATTAAATTTAACCTAATAAAATTTAAATTAAGTTTTAATTTTAAATTTTTGTTGGTAATGGATATCTGTGGATACTGATAGTATAAGGGTGTTGCTCCCTCCACCACCACCGTATATTTCCTCCACCTCTCCACATTATTTTAAATACAATTATATCCTTAAGTTAAAAAGATTTTTACTTTTACCTTATTTTAAATAATTTGAAACCCTAATTTTACTTTCCTAGCACCCACCCACGGAACTCTCTTCCCCTTTCCCCATTCCTGTTTCACCTCCCCACCTCCCGCGCTTCCATTCCTTTTTCTTCAGTTTTACAAAATCATTACGTTTAAAAACTAATTATATATCACATCCAAAATTACAAATTTAAATATAAACTAATATAAATATACATTATTAAAATACATTAAAAATATATTCAAAAATAATAAATCAAAACATTTAAATTAAATTATTAAAATATCTAATAAACTAATAAAACAAACCCTAAAAAAAATGAAACCTTTAAACGGAGGTGACATCCTTCAACAGATGTCAACATCCGTTTAAGGTAAAATGGCCATTTTACCTTAAACGGATGTTGACATCCGTTGAAGGATGTCACCTCCGTTTAAAGGTTTCGTTTTTATTTTAGGGTTTTATGTCATGGTTTATTCGATACGCACCTGGAGGAAGCACCACACACGCACTGCACCACTCCATGCACTGCACCACGAGAGCGATACTGCACCACCACGAGAGGGAGACTGCTTGATAATTCTTTCCACCACCACCAACCTTTGCAACTTGTAGTATCTCACAGCAGACCAAAAAAAGAGAGGAACAAGTATAATGTTAAAATGAAAAAAAAATAATTTACTCATACACCGTACTACAACAGGTTATTAGTGAAATAGGTTATGAAGGGGTAAAATTAAAAAATAATAACCCTAAAAATAAAATTTTACTGAGGGGCAAAATAGTAAAGGGGAGGTGGAGGGAGAAAGGTGTGGTGGTGGAGGGAGCAACACCCATAGTATAATACTCGCACTTGATCTGTTTATAAACGGATATTAAAATATTCGTTATCTACTACTCATGAGTAATAAATATTCGTGGATACCAACTATGTAGTGTTAATTTTATCCATAGATACCCTCAGACATGGATATTTTTGTCATCCGTACTCATCACCATCGATGACTTTGCCATGTCTTGAGATGCTTCTTTACCAGCACTTGGTATATCATTGCAACTTGCAGAATAGTATGTCAAAATTATTGCTTAATGTGTATTTTAGGAAAGTGTAATTTTTATTCTCTATAACATTTGTTTATTTGTTGTTAATTCTAGGATTATGTTCCTAGCATAAAGCCCTTAATCATTGGGATTTGTCCACCTAGAATTAGGTGATTAATATTTCCATAATAGCCAACAGGCTCTTGTACATATAGGTCCAATGACCTAATAATTTGTATGAGAAATAAAATATTCTTTCTTCTAAATTTTAGATGGTATCAGAGCTCCTGATTCTAGAAGCCTCCGACCATAGCCTAAAACCTAAATCTCTGCCACCACTGCCACACAACCTTGACCCCTCACAGCCTTCATTGCTGCCCCTGTTATTCATTGTAACCTTCATCGCTGTCTTCCTCTCGCAATCTTCATCCATGGCTGAGACTGAATTCCATTCCTGAAACAGGGGAAAAATCCCAGAGTGTTGAAGAATTGCTGAATGTTCGTTCTGCTTATTGGCTAACTGGAAGAATTATCTTAAATGGTCTCAACTCATTAAGACCATATTGAAGGGAAAAGGAAAGGACAGTAAACTTAATGACAATGCCCTTAATAAAATGGATGCTAAGTTCAAATCATGGGAAGAAGAAGACTCCATGATCATGGCATAACCATGGAATTCAATGGTACCAGAAATTAGTTATACTAGTATGTTCCTTAAATCAGCAAAGGAAATTTGGGAAGTGGTGGAATAAATCTGCCAAGGATGCTGCACAAATATATGATGTAAAGGTGAAAACCTTGGGAACCAAACAGGAAAACAACTTTGCCACAAAATGTGCCAATCAACTCAAGTCTCTATGGATGGAATTGGATCACTATTGCGTTATAAAAGCAAAGTGTTCACAAGATTCAACAATCCTTAAGGATTACATTAAACAAGATTGGGTTTATGATTTTTGGTAGGCCTGAATTTTCTGAATAGGATGAGGTCCATATCCAAATTCTGGGCAAAGAGAAAGTCCCAAGACTTAATGTTTCGGTTGTCTGGGGACTAAGTTACCAAACGCCTTCACAATTTGTCTTCTAATTCACTTGTCGTCTGGTTACGCACCTAACTCCGTTCTTCGCTCCTACCGGCCGTGGGGGAACCTGTCAAAGATTCTCCGATGCCAAAGTCAGTATGAGAACAGTGGCGGTCTCGATAGAACAGTAATAAATGTGCAGTAAATGCAACCTATCTACCACTCACCCCTGGATCTGTATTTATAGTTTTCGCTATGGGCTTGGGATTAGTGAAAAGTTAATCACGGCCCAAATTCAGCCCAATAGCCCTAATGGTTACTTACCTTGATCTTAATCCATGCTGACTCATTTATCGACCGTCCGGCTGTATAATGATTCGTCCAGACGGTCGCACAAAATAATCGAATGGTGAGTGTTAATGTAAGCTGGAACGTTCGGCCAGCTGCTATATGAGGAGTAACACTGACGGTTGATTTTGTGTCGGTGTTACTTCTGGTTGGTCATTTCATACGGCCGCCCGGTCCATATGTTGCACACACTTCATACAGCCGCTCGGTCCATATGGTACACTTAATGAAGTGATAGCTATCATTCGAGTGAAGAAAGCAGGCTCAATTTGATGCTGGAAACCCCAACTGTTTTAAGCACAACAATGGTAGTTGAAGAAGGAACAACCATGGTTGTTAATCAAAAGAAAAATGGATTTTTCAATATGGAGGAAAAACAAGAGGAAGTGTGGGTTACCTACTGCAACAAGCCACGCCACACATGGAAGAAGTGATGGAAATTACATGGAAAACCTCCAAATTGAGGATGGGGGCAGAAACCCCCAACTCGAGAATGGGGGCAGAAGGGCAAGTACACAACAGTTAAATCATGAAGAGATAGAAAGGGTAAGGTCTTTTCTGAGTAAATTGGAGAAGCCAACATGTATGTGCTCCTTAACATAGGCTGGTAAGTTTCAGTTTTCTTTTGGACTTAAATGTTTCAGATACATTATTTATCCACTCCTAGATATTAGATTTTGGAGCCACAAACCATATGACACCCCTATCCAAATATTTTTCCACTAGCAACAAAAAACTTTCCACAGCAGACGAAACCCTTATAACACTAGCAGGACAAGGAGAGAGTTCCAAATAAACACATCCATAACATTAAAAAATGTTCTACATGTCCCTAAGTTCTCCACCAACCTAATTTCTATACAAAAACTTACAAAAGATCTCTCATGTAATGTTTTTTATAACAATGCTAGAGAATGGAATGACCTGTACTACATAGAAGATTCTAATATGTCTATCAGAAGTCAATTTCTTATATCTGAATCCACCATGACCAACAAAGAGAAAAATCCAACTTCACCATTGTTGGATGGGACATCCTTCGTTCCAAGTTGGGAAAGCAATATTTCCTTCCTTGTTTAAGAACTTAGATGTAGGGAGTCTACATTGTAAGGTGTGTGAGTTTGCTAAACACAAGCTTGGACCTTTTCCTATTAGTAATAACATGACTCATTTTCTTTTTCCTCTTATTTACACTGATGTATGAGGTTCTGCTAATGTTTGTATTATCTCGGATGCAAAATGGTTTTTTACCTTCATAGGTGATTGTACCTGGTGGCTTGGGTTCTCTTATTGAAACAGAAATCTGAAGTTAGTTCTATATTTTTTCGGTTTGTATCATTGATTAAAAATCAATTTGAAGTCAACATTAAGAAAATTAGGTCTAACAATGCCCGGGACTATTTTAATTGTGTTAAACTTTTATTGCCAAAAGAACGGGATTATCCATTAGTCTTACGATATGCTAATAACTGTGTTTTGGATGATTAAAATTTACGGTTCATTTTTTGAACAGATTGTCTGTTAGCAACTTTATGTTTGATAAATTTTGCCTCATTCCTTTTAAACCGAACTATTGCTATTTTTATCATTTAACAACTGACAGGGTAGTTCATTGTCACAAGTGCCTTTCATACATATAGAAATTTGATAGCATGGCTAAACGCCAATAAAGTAACTTGGCTTAAGCTGTCGAATAATTCTTCCCTTCATATCTCCCTTAACTTAGTCATTCTATAGATAAATTTGAGAAAATTATTTGCAGAAAAATGTCTACTGAAGAAAAGAGAAAGCTTGGAGATGGTCTTACCCGGTTGTCACCTGATGATCTAAGCAAAGCACTGGAAATTGTTGCTCAAAGCAATCCAAGCTTCCAGGCCACTGCTGAAGAGGTGGATCTGGACATGGATGCTCAGGTCATTATATGTAAATTTCAAAGTGTCATGACATTCAATTTTTTCTTAAATTCTAAATAAAATAAGTAACCAGATAAATAAGATTGTTTTTATTTCTTTTTAGATTGAATTACAGTGTGTCACAATTTGCATTCGTGAGTACGCTAATTTGTATATTGTGTTCCTTAAGCAGAGTGAGTCTACCTTGTGGAGGTTAAAATATTTTGTCAAGGAGGCGTTAGAAGTGCAGGGCAAGAACTCAGGAAGCATGGGTGGCAATGAAAACCAGAACAACAACAAAAGAAAAAGAGAGTTCTGTGATGCTATTGCCAAAACGAAAAAGAAGACCAAGAAGACAACCTGATGATCTTTTGGATATGATAAACCCCCCGTCTGTTTTACATTATCTCAAATGATTGCTGATGCCGAAGGAGTCATTTCAAGAAACAAACCCATTGGTACGAAGTCGTTTTGGTAAATAACAAAAGTTATGTTGATAAAATTAGTCATTCGTGACAACCGTGGCCTTTTCAAGTGGTCTCCTTTTTGCACTGGAAGAAATCCTTGGAATGTAACCCAGTTTGAAGGTAATTTTGGTTTTCCTTGACCCTCTTATTATAGGGTGATCTGCCACTTAGTATAGGGAAACCATGCACTCTTCATTTCGGTTGTTAAATAGAGAGATAAGTTTCTCTTATATATTTGTGCTAATTTGTTGGTTTTAATTTTGTTATTAGAAACCAATGGCCAGTCATGGAAATTTTGTATATTATCTGACACTAATTTTAGCTCAAGGGATGGTGGTTTGTTTGACTTGCTTAAAGTCAGAATTTTCTCATGAATTGTATTTTCTCACCTGCATTTGTTAGCCTTCTTTCCATATAGGTTTTAGAATTTAGTCTTAAATACTAATTTAATCAATATCTTACTTGAGTTTGTTCAATTTAATCTTAATTGTTTTTTGTCAACTTAATCTTAATTTTTTTTTGTCAATTTAATCTTTTTTTTATTAACTTTGTTTAAATAGTTAACAAAGTTAACAAGAGTGTACAAGGTGTCCAGTTGGTTTGACGTGCTAGAGTTTGAACTGACGTAATCCCATGCATCCTTCACCATCATTTTCTTCCCCAAAACACTCTCCTTCCACTCTCCATCATCTTCAATCAACTCCCATCATCATCCCTCACATAGGGTTTCCCTTCATTCTCCTTCATCAACTAACAATTTCACACAGAAGCACCATCCTATCCAATTTTCTTCGGTTTAATACGTATTTTGGTCCCTCTTTTCGTAGGGCTGGGTTCAAAAGTGGTCCTCCTTTTTTTAAAAGTTCAAAACATACTATTTTCGCAAAAACGATGCACGTTAGTCCTTTTTGGTTACGGGCGTGGTTTAAAAAGACTAACGGCACAGCTGCCCAGCTGGCACAAAACTGATGAGCTGTACATTTTTCGTTGAGGTGGCACTGTGAATTGCTGATTGATATGTGTTATTAAAATAAATTAATTTAAATTAATTAAAAGATAGGGTTTAAAAAAAATTGACAATTACATTTGGTGGGTTGGTTAAAAATCTGCATGCGATTTCGGGGCGATTTAGGGTTAGGTGTTGAACAATCTCGTTTCCAAGAGAGGCAGATTCTGATTTTTGGTGTGAAATCAACTTCGAGGTTAGTGATCGCATTACTGTTCTTATGTTGTTGTTATGAGTAATTGAGGGCATTACTGTTGTTACTATGTTGTTGTCTTGAATGGGTGGATTCTGTTTTTTTGCTTTTCTTTTAATGGGTGGATTCTATTTTTGCTTTTTCTTAATGGGTGGATTTATATTTGTTTGTTGTGTTTAAATATGATTATATTTGGCAGGGTGGGGGGTTTATGGAAAAAGTATTGTCGTTGGTGTGTGGAATTGGTCCCATGGTTGTGTTAAATTAAGTTAATGAGTGGTCCCCCTTTTCCATTTGCAGTGTAGGGATGTCTAACGATAAGTTTGAGGTAGTGGTCCACCACGGTGGACCTTGATACAGGAAGTGTTCCCTTTAAATATAAGGGGGGAAATATGTTATTGGGACATTGACCCGATACATGGAGCTAGTTTGGAGTAGTAGGTTCACTTAAGGATTGGGTTACATTGAAGTACATGAGTTATATTACGATATTGACCATGTTTTATATAAGCTATATGAAGATAAAGGAGCTTTGAACATTGATGAATGTGGGAAAATTGTTGGGGAAAGTCAACTTGTATGTTGTACATAAAGTGAGCGAGAGCAGTGGGTTGTAGAAAATGAGGATGAAATTCTTTACCTTTGCCAAGGGCCTGCAGACAGTGGTGAGGGTAGTGGTGTTGAGGTTGGTGTACAAGGTCTTGTTGAAGTGCAACAGAGGTTGAGGAAGGTCCTCTTAACTGTGGTGGTGACTTGGAGAGAGATGATGGAGTGCAGGTTGACACAGAGGAGTAGTAGAGTGGAGGAAGAAGTAGAAATGCATAGTGAGGAAGAAGTGGAAGTGCACAGTGAGGAAGAAGTAGGAATTCACAGTCAAAGAAAGAAGGTAGAATGCATAGGGAGGAGAAGTGAAAGACAGAGTGAGAAGAGAAGTGGAAGTGGAAGTGGACAGTGAGGAAGAAGTGGAAGTGGATTACTGAGGAGGATGAAGCACATGTTTCTGTGGAGAGAGAACTTGGAGGAGGAGGGTAATTTGGATATAGTGATTCGGAAGAATAACAGGATGGAAAGACATGTGATAACGAAGCAGAAGGACATGGTTAGGGGGTTGTCAGATGATGAATGGGCATGTCAGATAGGCTTGTTAGAATCCAGATAAAGGAAGGGAGAGGTGAAAGGCTGAAGACAGATCAAGTGAGGAACCGAAATATAGAAGGAGGTGAATAGGAATGAAATAATATTTGAAAAAATGATAAAAATATATAAGCGAATAATAATTAAAAAAAACGAATAAAAATAAGAAGAAAATAAAGAATAAATTATTGGGAGATAAGAAAAGGGGAGCGGAATAAAACAGAAAAATGAATTAATAAAGGGTCATAAAATGAAAAATAAAATGAAAAAAATCGATAAAAATGAAATAAACAAATTAAATAAGTTTATGGAAATAAATATTTAATTGAAAAATAAGAATAAAGGAAAGTAAATGAGAACCATACCTTCCACATTGGTAAAAGAGCAAGATATACAAAATGGATGGTACTATATTACCGATAAGGAGAGTTAAGGAAGCCTTAGAAGTTATGCTATTCATGCTGGGAGGGCTCTAAGTTTTGTAAAAAATGATAACCGTAGTGGTAAGGGTCAGAAGGCATGGGTGGGCAAAAAAAGTGTCCATGGGTAGCTTACTGGGGTATTTGCCATCACACAAGATTTGGCGAGTTAAGGAAGATTGTGGAATGTTCATTGTTGCAGCAGGCAACTGAACATAAAATTGAGTGAATTAGTAAGTGGTTGAGTCATGAAATAGATAAGTCTATGCATGACAATCCTAGTATAAAGAGCCTCCAAGACATATGTACCAAAGCATTAAGGAAATGCTGATACACAATGTATCAATTTCTAACAAGAAAAGAAGGGCAAATTAAGTTAATGGCCACCCCTCCCCCCCCCCCATCAAGTCAACGTGAAGGGGATTTAAAGGAACAATTTCGAAGGTATTTTATGACTATGACATGAGGTATGAGAAGTAAACCTTGGGTCAACGGTTAAGGTTTAAAGTGAACAGTGATAATGGCAGTCCATATTCCAAGATGTTATTGTTTGTCTTAAAAGCATTATTTTTGTAAGGATAGTTTTATTAGTTGAGACTCATCATCTGTTTAGATGGGATGTTTTTAAGTTTTTTTTGAAAGGTCTTTATAAGGAGGAGCTGCTTACTGCTGTTGGGAGGGATCCAAATGAGCAATGCTACCCCTTGCATATGCGTAGTTGAAGTCGAAAAATAAAGATTATAGTTGTGTCCTGGTTTTTGCAATTATTTTGGTGAAGACCTTGGGGGCAATGAAGTTTGGTGAGGCATACAACGTGGATCATTGGTCTGGACCACAGCAAAAGTAATGCAGTACTTTAATTATTTTTTGATTTGCAAACTTTATTAATCATGTTGTGTTTGCTTAAATAATTGATGTTGGCAGGGATTGGTGCCAGCTATCCAAGAGTTTTTGCCTAGGGCAGAACAAAGATTCTGCATCAGACACCTTTATGCTAACTTTAGGAAAAGATTTTCTGGTCAGATATTGAAGAATTTGATGTGGAGGGCTGCCACAAGCACATACCCCCAAGGTACATTCTTATCATTACATGCAACATAGATTCTGCATTACTCATCTGTTTGTAACTCATTTTCTTCATTCTCGTGCAATAGGTATGGTCAGAAGTAGGTCAGGAACTCAAGCAATGTGTGATACTCTGGTATTAACAACATCGAAGGTTGGGAAGGATTCAACAGTGTTCTTGTGCAGTCCAGGAAAACCCATAATAACCATGTTGGAGGAGATTAGACTGTATTTGATGAAAAGATGGGCCACGAACAGAACGAAGGTAGCAGGTATGGATTTCAATGTCTGTCCAAAGATCAAAAAGAGAGTTAGAAGGAAATTGTAATTTGTCAAGATATTGATCCCAAGGTAATATTGTTCTTATGCCTTATTTATGTTCATATCCAGTTGTTCTTATGGCTTATTTATGTTCATATCCAATTGTTGATGTGCCTTATTTATGTTCATTTATTCAGCTGGTCTGGCAAAGGATTTTTTTTGAGGGTTAGGCATGTTTCAATCATGGGGAACAAGTTCACAGTGGACCTGGGACAATGAAGAATTGCAGCTGCAGAGAAGTGGATGATGATCAGTGGGCATCCCATGTTGTCATGAGTTGCATCAATGAACTATTCAAATGTAGATCCAGAAAGTTTTATACCAATTTGTTTCAGGAAATCCACATATGAAGAAGGCATATGCGTCCATCATCTATCCTGGAATGGCCACCTCCTAGGAAGACAAAAAAAACTTAGTTTCCTGATGTAACTGCCACCACCTAAGAGGAACAGCCTGGGAGGACCCAAGAAAAAAAGAAGGAATGGAGCCATGGGAGAGCTAACGAAAAGATGGGACCCAAGAGTGTTGGTGGGCAGCGAAAGAGATGATTAGTTATCTGACCGTGAACTGGGGCACACAAAAAATGTGCCCTCTTTACGTCCACCATCATCGAACCAACAGAACCAACAACAGGCACAAAGTTCAACACCCATTGCACCTTCACAACCATCAAGTCCCCAATCTCCTCAAACCACCACACCCAATGTCAAGATTCCATCCGAGGATTTAAGTCAGCCAATTACAAAGGCAAAAGTTAAACATTAGAGAAAAAGATCCATAGATTGATAGAAAATTTGGTATGTATAAATATGTATGACGTACTCTTTCATTAACTACTTTAATGTGTATGTTGAATTCTTATTAAGCACTTTCATTGTCTGTGTTCAATTCTTATCAAAACACTTTCATTGTGTATTGTTGAATTCTTATTAAGCACTATAATAAATATCTTATTATAGTTGTACTGATATTATGTTGTGGAAGTATTTGGAAGTAGTGAGATTATGTAATTATATATGTTTTTTGCTAGGTATTCTTAATTATGTATTATAGTAATATAGTAAGGGACCACCCTGAACAATTTTTTTTTTTTTAAAGAAGAAAGGGACCATCGTGAACAATTTTTTTAAAAGACAAGGGGACCACAATTAACATTTTTAAATCAAAGGGGGGACCTCCTTAAAACGAACTTTATTGCCCGAACTCAGATTGTTCACTAATTACAACAACTGATATTACATCAAC